CACGAACGGTTGTAGATCTAGTGGCATGTGCTTGACATCTCGAAGCACACAAAAAACTCGCGGCAAAATTGATTTCGATTCTTACATGCTCTTTGTCTTATTAAATTTTATCAAGTAATTTATTTATTAAAAATATATTAATTAATGTTTTCTATTTACATGAAATAAATTAAATAAAATGCTCCTTATATATTGTTTAATTGTTAACAAAATTTACAATTCTAAATCTGAATACTTGTAGTAGGTAGTAGTAACCAGCCTCATTTTAAATGAAAACAATAAAGTACCTACATATGTTATTTTAAAATCTTTTCTAAGTTTCAACAATAGTGACGTCGATTGCGAACTCATTCTTATTTGACCTGTATTGTGGTCAATAGAAGTCTAATCACTTCTTTACCTATATACATTTTGTATTTTTTCAGCGATTTTTGCCAGTATTTTACCTTCATTTAATGTACAATATTGGCAAAAATTTAAATGGAATTATTTTTTAAATATAAAATTATGATACAATTTAGGTACCTACCTGCAACACCCTTGGACTACCTTGAACACTTTATTTGTGAATATAAGAATAACATGACTACGATAGTTTAAAAAATATTTAAATATTTTTATTATAAGAATCAAAAATCAAAACATATACTAAAAATATTATGAAACAACATTAATGATCCAGAATTTTTAAGTATTTATGTATACATAAATATATATATATATATATATATTCATTCATGACTCTGGTGAAGATTTACACAATTTCACTTACAGCTGTGATTAGGGTTAGTATTGTAATTTTTATGTTATACTCGTACATATGTTATTATTATATTTTAACTACCTGTGACGCAAAAGACTTCATTCCGTCAAAGTTTCACTTTCATTTGCTGAGAATGAGAAAAGGTTTAATTTTTTTTTCGAAATTCCTAATTTCCCTAGAACTACTCGATCTTTTTCCCCTAAAAATTTAATTTGGATATTTATTCAGATTGTAAAACAATTTATCTACAAATCAAACCGTAATATGTTTGAACAATATCAAAGTGAAATGACCATTCTGAATTAATTATTTTACGAATCGCACTTAAAACAGAATTCATCTAGTGCAAGACGTAGTTAATTGAGCTTTTTACTGCATTTAGTCATAGGTATTATTAACTTCTCAGCACTGGCGATGGACAGTGGTGTCCACTACGACTAGGTACATACTCGTATGATTCACCAGGGTTTTGTTACGGTATATTATTTTATTTATTGACGTATTTTTTATATTTACCTTAAATAAATAAAATAAAATCTTAACGTCACGTACTGTCTTTAAGGACATATCACATGTTCGGGAGTCGAACTAGCGAAATAAACTTTATTCAAATAGACAAAAACTTTTGAATTGCCGATTTTACATTTTAAATTAAATGTCAGAATATAAGTCCGTGAGGAATCTACCACCGGCTCGGATGGTAGTTCTGCTGAGAAGAGCCGGCGAGAAACTCAACAGTTGTAATTTTTAAATATAATAATAGTTCACAATATATCAATAAAATGATTATGTTCTTATTCTGTGTGAGTATCAATTAATAGTAATCCTAGTAATCCTACACATTTGCATCAGCAATGTATTCCGCGACGAATGCATTGCTGATGAATTCAACTATAAGCTTTGCTCAATAATATATTTTTAATTTTTGACTTAAATTGTTCAAGTGGCAAGCTCAAAATGGAGTGTGGAGTTTTATAATATGTATGTATATATGTACCTACGTTTATAGCTCCTTAAATTTGTTCACTTAAAGTATTTTTCAATGCTATTATTTATGCAATATTATCTAACCAAGAATCATTTGAAGGTAATTGGTAGATTATATGTTGCGAGAATCCTTACTTTAACTATTCTTTTTGAACGGTCGGAGTTAAATGGCGACCGCGCCTGTCATCGCTGTCCGAGTCTACAATAGTTTGAAAATAGGTGAAAGATCATTAAACACTATTCACACTATCGTGTCATATTCCGTTTGAAAATCATATAGATTCCCCAGCAGTAGGACAGCTGTTACGTATTACAATTATTTTCTTTATTTTACCTACGAGTGAAAACTATCTTTGTAAAACTTTTATTAGACCATATTTTCTTGAACAACCTGCCTACAAAATATTTGTTTATACAATATTTTCAACAAGTTTGTCAGCCACGGGGCTTTACTCTTTCCTTTTTTATTATTTCTTTAACAATCTGCCATAATAACAATATTTGCGAATATTTCCATCGGCTTACTATGGTTGAAGAACCCTAAGAGAACCGTAGTGGAAGGTAGAGCAGGGGCTATTTCCGTCTCGACGATTCAAGTACCTACTCAATCCTGTAAGATAAATGAATAAATTATATAAATTAATTATATCGCACTCTTATCGATGGTATCATTAATGCTTTGTGCTTATAATTTATCTATTTTATGATCTTTTGAGCATTTTTTTGATTGTATGTATGTATGTATGTATTCAGCCCTTTTTAACGTCCCACTGCTGGGCACAGGCCTCCCTTCAATACGAGGGGGATCAGGCCATAGTCCACCACGCTGGCCAAGTGCGGGTTGGCGGACTTCACATGTCTTTCGAAAACTTGCTAAGTTCTCTAAGACATGCAGGTTTCCTCACGATGTTTTCCTTCACCGTTAAGACAAGTGGTAATCATATTGGAAATGATTCGCACATGAAAATATCAGAGGTGCGAGACCCGGGATTTGAACTCGCTTCACTCGGTTTCCCAAGCGAGCGCGCTAACACTGGGCTACCACTGCCATTTTTTTTCTTTTTCATTTTTTTTTATTATTATGATTAATTTTGGGTTGCAGTAGCGAAGCGTCCATACAAGACGTCTTAAATTTATTATGCCATAATTTTACATACATTTAATTTTTTAAATTACGAATTATTTACGTAGTGAAATATATTAGATTTGCTTTACTTCGGCTGGCATCGACTTCAAAAATATCTGATTAGGTATCTATTCTCAAAACCCCGTATAGTTATTTTTTACATTTTAGTGGTTAGATGTCGGTTTTTTTTAAGTTTTTATTTGAATTCAAATATAAATTACTATTTATATTTGAAGAAATGATTTATATATTATCTAATTTAGTATAAAGGGGATTTTGGGGGCGATATTGATCCATCTAGATTAGTCTTATGTCTGAGAAAACGCGTGTTTTCGAGTTTTCATGCTATTTTCTTTTGCATTATTTCACGCAAAATATGGTCGGTAATTTGCACTCTCGGGCATAAGCATCGTGGTCAAGCGGCCAAGGTGCAAGATTAACAATCATAGGTGTCCAGGTTCGAATCTTGGTCGCATACAAAGTTCTTAATTTTGTTTTTTTTTAATGTTTATTCAAGTTTTTAGTTAAAAAAAAAGAAAATTGTACTTAAGGCCAAAAACTTCGAGCGAAACTCGGTAGCCCAGGTACTAGTATATTAATTGTCTTAAGTAGCATTTTGACTTCTCATCACAATCCACGAAATTGAGATGAAAATTACTGCTCATTACGCTCTAGTAAGAAAATGAAACCTTTAATATATACTATCCTTCAACGTAACCACTTTTTGTTTATGTCGATCTTTGTTATGTAGCAGATATTACAGTGAAAGCGGTGTGCCATTATTGTTTTGCCTTTTGCTATACGTAATACCTATTACATAAAATATTAAGATTAAATATCAAAATATTTATTTTATTAGAATTGTGTATTTAAGTTTGCAAGAATAAATTTCTTTATACGCTGAAACGACTAAAGCGATTGGGATGAAAAAGTACACAGATAGATTATGACCCGAAATAAAACTAGCGCAGCCGAGCGTGCGTAAGGTCTTTAGTCTATACATATAATAAAATTCTAACTAAGTCAAATCTGTACATTAAATATTTTTATAAATAATCTTTATTATCGATACAGAAGCCGAATCTATTGTTTTTGTTTTTTTGTCTATCTGGGAACGTATCACGAGAAAACCAATGGACAGAATTTGAAATTTGGTACGATGATAGCTTAGCCGAGCGGTAGGTTATCCGGGTCAACATATAGGATATTTTTTGCTGCGGGAAAATATCTCATCTCTGAGAAATACTAACCGTTAAAACGCACCTAGGGAAGAACCCGAGGGGAGGAAAAGATTCCACAACGTATTTTAAATTTGACATTTCAAAACCTAAAATTTAAAATTAAACGTTTATCACTAAATAAATTTTACCATTCTGATAACTATTTAAAAGAGAAAAATGCGTGGTATTGGGACCTTGATATATTTATGTGATGAAGATGTGCAATGTAACTTAAAAAAATATAAGATCAAAAATTGTTGAGTTTTCCCTCAGCCCTTCGCAGCAAACTTGCAGTCTGTTATGGTAGCCTAATCACAGCCTATTAGTATTTAATTGCATTGATCTAATGAAGCAGCCAGATGCTAGTCGTGTCAGCCACATACAATTCGATCAGTTACACATACAGTTCGATACAATGTCACAGTAGGCCGGAAATTGAAAAAAACTATATTTCACCGTTTTGCATCCCCCCATTTCTCGGGGGTAGATGGGCATGGGGGGCATTTGACGAATTTCTATTCCTTAGATACTGCTAACATTTTAAAATCATAAAGCTTCAGGTTTTTTATATTTTTTTCTCTTAAAAATAAACGGATTCAGATTGGTCTAAGTTACTCACTGATTCTCTTACAAACAATGTAAATATAAAAAAAAATCATTAAACCGTTGCTCTGAAGCACAAATATTTATAATCCAGTTTAACTGTAAATATTAATATATTACAAGAATATTGTTTTAAATAATAAATGGTTTAGTCTTAAGGGCCTTTTCAAATCAATTTACAAAGTAATTACCATTTGACCAGCGTCAATCAGCGTGCTGAGAAGTTTATAAATTAATAGTAAAAAAATATTTTTAAACCCGATTTTATAGCTTTATTTTTTATAAAATCTTGTGTTTAAAAATGATCTTGTTCCAATCATTATGTTCACAATGCTATGTAGGTATGTATGCTGAATCATAATTGAATGCTTTTACAAAATTTTGTGTCTGTACCGTTGACTGCGAAGAGTACCTTTCTCATACCCTGGGTGCACCAGCCAGGCCGCAATGGATTTTAAAACGGGCTGTTATCTATACATATAATAAAATTGTAACTAAGTCAAATCTGTACATTAAATATTTTTTTGGAAAATCTAATTAAAATAGACATTATTATTGATACAGAGTCCGAATCTATAGTTTTTAGATTTTTTGTCTGTCTGTCTGTTACCGCATCACGAGAAAACCACTGGACAAATTTTGATGAAATTTCAACATATAGGACGGGAAAATGTCTCATTTCTGAGAAAAAATACAAAAACTGCAATGTAAGAGTATACTAATATGTAAAACCTAAGAATTTGGTTTTTGATCATCTTAACCATTGGAACCGCGGGCAATGCTAGTAATTAAATACGTTTATAAAATTTCATATCTCCGCTGTTGACCGCTGAGGAGATCTCTCATTTGGAGCTAACCTTAGACGCAGCAGCCAAGTCATGGTAGACTTTAGAATGGGTTGTAATATATAATTGAATGCATATCTAAAATTTCGTGTGTCTGAACTGTTAAACGTTGAAGAGTTACTCCGTCTAAACCCAATCCTAGATGGAAAATCAAGCCATAATTATCATAAAAAGTCCTTGTCATTGCAACTAAACCAATATGTAAAATTTCAACTCTGATGATGATAATAGAAAGTGGTTCTAATTCAGCTTGCAAGTTTTGACCCATACAAATATAGGTACTAACTTCCAATAACAGCATTGCAATTTAAATAAAAGTTTATAATAAAAGCAAATTACATCGTATGTATTGACAGAACAATCTTTTTAAATTTATTCGTTATGAAAATATAAATTAAAATTTATAGCATCTATCTTCTCTACAGGTCATACTCCGAGAAGAATTATTAAGTTACCCAACTTCATAGCCGGAGGTAAGTTAACTATAAAATTCTTTTGAAAGACTTGATTGTAACAAAGAACGGAATATTATGCATTAAAGTTAGAAAATTTTTAAAAGAACATCTACGAAATAATTTATAACTTTAACCTTCAAACATTACTTTGTTACCTCCACAATTTATTAATTCGCACTTTATACTATTTGATAAATATTTATATTTCGAATGAAACTGCTATTATTTAGAGATTTCAAAGTCAAATTTCAAAAACGGATTGTTCCTATTTCTTCGTGATGTCTGTATGGAAAGGCATAATTGCAATATGTCTGTATACGTCACAATAGTATGGCAGACTTTAAGATAGTGTAAGCTTAGATTATATTTAGCTGTGTGACACCGTCACTGAAAATATTTACTGCTTATAGGTAATTCAGAATTTTACTGTATAGTAAAAGTTTCAGTTCAATTAACTAGTTTTTATACTCTTTATAGGTAACCAATTCTATATTTAATATTTAATAAATAAACATCTAAAATAACTTTAATAATGAATACAAAAATACTTCATCTAAAATGAAACACTAGAAAGATAAGAAATAAATTGTCTAATTATAAAAAAAATACTTTTTTGGGCTAATACATATAATAACAACGTGGATAGAATAGGTAGCGCGTGTTCGAGCTATAAATTTTTATATTCCGAAAAGTTCTTCACGTCCATGAATAATATATAATTTAAACCATAACTTTATGATAAGTTATAATAATTTATAGTCTCACTGACTAGAAATTAAAAATATTACAGTAATAGGAATTTCCATTTTTTGAGATATTGTATTTTCTTTGGTTCTATTATATTTTATCGCATTTTCGTACCGCAAACTTTGTTTCTCATAGTATCTTTGAAAAATACTCTGTAATACTTCGAAAATTATTTGTGGTATAACTAAAATTAATAATGTAGATTGGTACAAACTAGGTACGTAAGTGAAATAAACACTTAAAAATGTTAAATGTTACGGAACACTAGATGCAAAAGGAAGACTCGCGCATTTTTTATGAATAATCATGATTTTTCGTGATATACGTTGACAAGCTCTGAAAATTTGCAAATTGCACCTGATCATTCTAAATATTTATGACATAATAGGTATTTGTATGTATGTATTTTTATTTAATCCTCATTCACTTATTTCTCCTAACCAATTGAGCCCGTCCTTTTTCATTTTTATTATATTTTTTCTTTCTCATAATCTTAATTATAATGTTATTAATGAAGCGATCAGTGTGAACATTGAATAAAAATTAATTATCATATTATGCGTACACTAAATACCCTGCAGATGATTGCGTACTTGAATTATATTAATGAATACTTTATATTTTTATTTTATTTTTCTTTATATGAATGATGATCCTTTAAAGTCAGTTTTAAAAAATCCAATCATTATTTATTATCTACATCGGTTTCTTTGATTTTTTTACAACATTTGATTCTTTTAATCCTAAGGATTGCGCTTAAAAACCCCTTTTTATATGCTTACTTTGTAGTTGACATAAAAAAAATATACTCGTAAAGCTCTTACGAGTGGATTCCACTACCGCTTCTAGGAAGGGATTAATTATTATATTGTAATTGGATAAAGATTGTTAGCTTCTATGACGCTGTTTATATTTTAGTAAATTTTCTGCATGTTTTTTGACAGTGAGAATGGTAAATCGCAACGAGGGAAGGGCTGTGGCGTGCGTCCTACTTGCAGTCATGGCAGTGGTTGCAGCCGCATCCTACGACCGAGAGAGGCTTGAAATCGCTAAACAAATACTTGAAGAAGTTCCTCTTACTGATGGGTAATGGAAATATGTGTAATTCTATACTAATATTAAAAAACTGAAGAGTTTATTTATTTCATTTTCTGAAGCTACCAGGGAGGTTTAAAACAAATTTTAGTCTATTTGTTAAGAGAATAAAAATATAGATATTAATCAAACATACCGCTACTATTATTGGGATTGAAATAATATTTTCTATATAATTATTTTCATGATTTTTTTATCTCTTTAAAAGATGACGGTATAATAAATGTCAATAGGTTCAGTGGAATGAATATTTATCGATTAGTCAGTTAGAAACTCAGATAGTAAGACGTACGACTTAATGTATTATATACCTACTAGCGGTCACCTCTGATTCATTTGCCTACTTTTTTATTTGGAGACCCGAAAAGCATTCTCTCTATACAAATTTAGATACCTCTAAAGCTTTTAGGTTTCGAATTTCAATAAGTCCTTTCTTAGTAGAAACTGCTTAGCATTATGGAAATACGCGGTCAACATTTCAGCCTAACAGGTCTTGCGGGTGAAAATTTATTATACCGAATGATTAGTTAAGACAAGCACCAGTATTAATATTACTAGCATTACCGCCCCACCGCCAAAATTTCATTATCTATACATATAACAAAATTATTCTAAGTTGTATCTGTATATTAAATATTTTTTTGGAAATTCTTTTTGACATAGTCGTTATTATCGATGCAGAGACCTATAGTTTTTAGAATTTTTCTGTCTGTCTCTCTATCTGTCTGTCTGTCTGAGAACGCGTCACGAGAAAGCCACTGAACAGATTTTGATGAAATTTGGTATGATAATACCTTGTTATCCGCGTCAACATATAGGATACTTTTTACTCCGAGAAAATATCTAATCTCTGAGAAATCTATATCTAACCGTTAAAACGTAACTAGGGACGAAACCAAGCCGAGCGAGGGTGAGTCGCTAGTAGTACATATAAATAGATAACCTAAAATAAACTATTAAAACTATACACAGTGGCGATGAAACACTTGAATATAAAAATAACCAGAGACTAAATATAAGCGCTTCTCGAGTGCTATTTAACTCCATATGCTGCAATAATGAACATAAACTACGGTTATTTTTTCACACACATTTTATCAAGAATAAAATATTATTTCATTATAATTTTATGAACAGTATTATTTAAAAAGTGACTGAGTAAATTTATTTCACCTATTAATTGTTTAAATTTTCTGATAAAGACTACGACAATACTTACAACAAAATAAATAACCAAACAAATTAAAGTTGAATATGCGAGTAGAAGTAAGTACCTTATGTATAATTAGTTTAAAGCCAATCTCAAATTTCTATCGCCATATCTCAAAACACGATTTACATAACCCTTATAGAATCACTTTATTTTCTATCCGTCTGTTTATCTTTCAAGACGCTATTTTTGAATGTTTCAAATTAGGGTTGTGTTGCTGTGTTAAATTATACTTTAAAAGTACAATTTAACACAACAATAAGATTGTATGTGGTGGGGGTATAATCCTTGGGCTGCAATTCCAACTAACAATTGTTACTATTGTATTGAATAAATTGATTTCTTTTTATCAGGCACAACGATCTACCGTGGAACATTCGCAAATTTCTTCGCAATCAGATCAATGAATTCGAGCTCGATACAGACCTCACACAAGTGGAACCGTGGTCCATCTCTAAGTACTCGCATACGGATTTGCCTCGGCTTAGGGAAGGCATGGTCGGCGCCCAGGTATTTTATTTTTGTATATAATTTTATTAAATAATGTAATTACTTTTTCATTAATTAATTATGTGTCTTTCAGTGTCAGTAAGATTTCAGTAAACTCTAATAAAAAAAGATAAAAAACTATTCAATCATATACAAATCTTGTTTAGACTATTGATAAAATAAATATTATTATTTTATCAAAGAAAGTTTCAAACCAGTAAACAGAAATGCCACAGAAGTATATTTCTACTTAGATATTTCCATTTGATTTCATTATATCTCTGCAAATAACAAGATTGAAATGTCTGTTTGCCTTTTTTGTTCTCGTACTATCGCATTAAGTTTGAATTATTGAATATTGGTTAGATAAACTTTGGCTTTATAGATAATTCCATGTTAAGTCTTTTAGACAGCGATTACCATGAGATACCTTTGTTTGTTGCCAGAGATTTTAAATAATACTAAGTCACTCTAAACTATTAATTGATTTTTATCACAAAAATTAAATTTAAAAATGATAATTCTTCAGTTCAATCGACAAAAAGATATGATACCACAATTGATGCGGTTTTTTTAGAAATATAGAAAATTTGCTGAGTAGAGTTGATGTGTCACAGCTATCATAAGCCTTTAATTTTATAGTTGAATTATAGTATAAACTAAATTTATTTAATTGTAATGTAAATCTTACTTTTCATAACTCACTATCAATTATTAAAGTGAAAGAAATTTAATTTAATATATCTTCAACAGCTAGTAACCTCCATTTGCGGCCACTTTTACATAGGCAGAGGTAGTATATAAGATTTAGTCTATCAGGTACAGGAACAAATTAGTTTTAATTTGATATATAAATAATGAATATAGGACAAATGTAACAAAATATTACCTGCTTACACCGGGCTGCGAAGAGGTTGCGGTCAAGTGCGCAACGGCTGCGATTACTTTTATTTAGTACACGTATATTTCTGTGAAGTGGAGTATAATTTATTTTAATAACAAGTGCATCGATTTCGTTCCAAAAAGTCAATTATTATTAATATAATTAAAAATACTAGCGGGCACCTTTTAATAGGCAACCAGGCTAAAACATATTGTCTCTTATTATTGTATATAAAAAAAATGATTTTGATTAAATACTCGATGAACGTAGCAATCTTGCAGCCATATGTTGATCAATTATTTAATTATTGATTTGTTATAATTCAAATGCAGTATCTGCCACAGTGCCACAGAAATTTTACTTGCACCGCGCGTAAATTTTACACGCAGTAAATTTTTTCCTTGTATGTATTTGTAAAAAAAAGGAGTTTGAAAAATTTAATTACTCGATCAAAAATATCCCCAGACAAAGTAACACATAACAGTATAAACTTCTTGTTATTTGCACTCCCAAAGAAAGCGGAGAAACTCTTTGAAATGTAAATATTACCAAAGTAATAATTTCTCACTAATTATATTACAAAAAAGTTATTTATAGTACAACATAGAATATCTTATAATAGTGTTCATTAGCTTCATTTCTTTTGGTAGTACGATTAAAGGCGACTTAGATAAATTCTACGAGACAAGGCGGCCCAAACAGTACGTCGTCAGTCGCTTTGAATTTTAAAGTATTATTCATGCCTAAAGAAAGATGAAGATGAAAAATGCTCCACGAACGGGCAGAATTATTGCTTTAAAAGCCTTAGTAATAAAAAATGTCTTTGAAAATTATTAAATGAATATTATAATAAAACAATGTAGGAATGTTGTATTTTACGGATTTTTGTTCCTTATACTTGTGCTAACGTTTTAAAAAATAAAACTTCAGGTTTTAATTACTTTCTTTCTCTTTAAAAATAAAGGAAATCCGATCGGTCTATTGATTTACCTTTTATTTACGGTGGCATGTTTGGCAACTTTAAGAAGGAGGTGCTTAATTCTGGTGTATGATACTTTTATATGATTATGTATCGCAATGACTTCGGCAATTATGAACCGTTCTTAAATATACTCGTAAAAATTAAACTGCCTCACTTTTATTATTTCCTCGCATGGTCAAGTTGTGGATCATTCTTCAATATCAGGTTCTTTAAGAGTAGGATTTCAATAGAAGGCTAAAATCAATTATCACCAGCTAATATAAAAAATACTTCTTTTTTTACACCTGAATGGTAATTCAGATGTTTTCGTTCGTATGTTTTCAAAGAGGAAAAGTGGTAAATTTAAAAATTAAATGGGTCACAAAAATACTCATACTTAATAGAGTTGTTAAATATTTTGGAAAAACAGATGGCACAAACATTTCTAGCCAGAGCTATAGAAGTATTAAAGTTGATTTTAAGCAATAAAATTTCAAATTTGTGTGTTTGGAAAAACCATGTCATATTTAACCATTAATAAATAAAAATAAATTAATTGATCTGTACTACTCACTTAGCTATTTTCCATTGATTGAGTTCCTGTATATATTTTAAAAGGATAAAATAATAGGTTAATAAAAGAATATAAAAACCGAACCAATTTCACTAAGACATACCTATAGTTTGTCGGCTAAAATGCCCGAAGCAGAACAACTACAATAACATTTGTTTTACCCAGCAAATATTTTTACGTCAACTTCCTTTAATTTAATATAACCTCAATCAAAATATGATACCTTCATTTTCTGTCTAACCCTCGGTAAAACATAAATGTTTATATTATCTCGTGCGATATTAATTAAAACTATTACTGCGTATATTTTAGTTTCAATTTTTAATAATGGAATAACTTGAGTAAAGTATTTTAATAATATTATTATTTTAATTCTATATTGGCAACAGTGATATAACAAACATTTTATTTACAGCTTGTGTTAAAATGTAAACTTTTTTGCCAGTTTTGGTCCGCATTCGTCCCTTGCGCTACTCAGAACAAAGACGCGGTCCAACTGACACTGGAGCAGATTGATGTTATCCGTCGTCTTGTTGACAAGTACCCTCAGCATCTGCAGCTCGCAACATCAGTAACGGGTAAGAATTATCTTTATTCCTTTTGATTTCATTCACACGATATTTGATCAAACTTTAGAGCACCCTCTGATTCTTGATTTCGCTTATTTATTAATTTTAAAGTAATTATATGAAATATTATTTTCAAATTCGTTGATATGTTTGTAAACTACTAAATACACATGTTAGCTTTAAAAAATATAAATTATATAGTTTTAAAGAATTTTCATAATAAATTTATCTAAAATATCTTAAGTAAGCCTTGGCTTTCTTATTTTATACTTGTATAGACTAACAAAACTTTAATTATTTCTAATTAAGAATTAATTACCAGAACTTTAATTATTTTGAATAATTAAAATTTTGGTAATTTATTCTATTAATTATAGGTATATTATGGAATACTAGCGTCTTACCCTCGCTTCTCTCTCATGTGTTATTTTAGCTCATACTCTTACTAAATTTCATCTAAATTCAGACGTTTCAGTGTGAAGTAGTAAACAAACATACACACAAATACAAATTTTCACATTTTAATAATAGTCTGAAGTATCTTTTATATAGGTTACTACAAAACTTATTTAATATATTTTTCTACCAGATATTCTCGAAGCCCACAGTGCTAGACCACGTAAAATTGCATCCCTTATCGGCATTGAAGGTGGACATTCTATTGGCAATTCCCTGGGAGTTCTCAGAAGCTACTATCAACTCGGTGTACGCTATATGACCCTTACCCACACTTGCAATACACCCTGGTAAGCATTGGTTAAAAACCTAAATTTACTTCTAGTATTGAAAATATTACTTATAAACATATTCACGCCATCCACCCAATTATAAATTAACGACATAGATTTATTCTAAATATGTATGCTTGAACGAGTTTATACTAACATTAAACACTTACATAATAATTCATTGCAGGCGAATTTTATATCAAAATTAAGATTTATATATACACGTGCAAAAGGCAAAGCGAAAATGAAACGCGAATGGATACCTCTTTTACATACGATTGTATTATTTGTCGCGTCATTTATTTGTATTGTTATTTCGTAGGGCCGATTCTGCCAACGAGCCACCCGCTGCGAATGGTCTAACGGAATTTGGAGAGGTAAGCAAGTCATTTTATGCCGCATATACGAGTACGAGTAGACTGGTGTTATGTAATATGTTGAATACTGACATATTTGAATTGCAAGAATAATTTTAACAAACCAATCTTTATATAATTGCTTCTTGATGTGAATGCTCTAATCTGTGGAACTACCAGTCCAATTTTAAGAAATCTTATCTGAATCATATAGCCTATTTATTTTGGAACACCCTGATTTAGAAGGACATTAAGTACAAGTACCCGGTTCTTTCATAGATTATATCACATAAAGACTAATATAGGCTAATTGAAAAGTATTTGTTAGTGCGGTAGGGACAATAAATTTAATATAACAATCATAATTGTAAGCACGAAAACGAGGAAGATATGTTATACGAGGATTTTAAATAATTAATCATAACCATGTTTTTCTTAACTCTTCTTTTAAACCAATAAGATTTCATTTGGTCAGGAATGGCACAATCTTTACAATAATCATGAATATTAGAGAAAATCCGCGATAGAAAGCTCGCAACAGTAAACGTTGTAAACCAGTAACATTTGACATTTCTAGAGACCTCGCTTTACACTAACGCGCCCTCTCACGGCGAATTCAAGCGCGGTAGCCTCCATTCCTTTAGAATAATTTAACACAAACGTCACATTGTAAACATCAGTCTGTACGCGGCATGTAGCAACCTTTTAGCAATGCTGAGCGCTGTTTAGTTAAATTCAAAAGATGCAGTCGCGAATTTTTGAAATAATTTATATAAATAAAAATTAATGTTGCTAAGCTAATATTCTTGTTATATAATTCAGCTAAATTTTTTTTCGTAACATACGAAATACCTTAAGGTACCCGGAAAGTTTTAATAAGGAGAAAAAATATAAAATAGGGTAAATACATATATATATACATACATATATATATATATATATATATATATATATATATATATATATATATATATATAAGAACGCTGGACCAATTTTTATGATATTTCATTTTTTGGCATTTCTCTTAGTCCGGAATAAGATAATAAGCATTAAAACATCAGAAAAATTAACGAAAAAAAATTATATGGCTAACGTTGGCTGATAACTATTTATATCTATTTAAAGCATACGCGATACGACGAACCCGAGCGAAGCGAGGGTGAGCCGCTAGTTAAATATATTTATAATATTTTAAATCAAAAGAATTATATTAGTATTCAACAATGACTGGTTGTTTGTTATATGATTATTTGTTTAAAATATATACTGTCCGTATTTTAAAATACTCAACGATTGTTTGGACACACGTGGCATATTGAAGATGGAAATATTAATAATATTTCTAGGTCTTCAAAACGCAGTAGGTAGAGACTACGAACGCTATAAGAACAGTAGCTCAAGATTTTTATTTTTTAACGATGTCAAAAAAGAGGATATAATTACGTGATATCTACACCATTGTGAACCTATTTTCTAAAGGTCTATTCCTTATCTGAAAGGTCTATCTCTAAGAGTAGAATATATACTTGTATATTTTTTGGTGAAATATGAATTTAGCAAGCGATATTTATCTTATGACATGATTTATCTTAGTTTATAAATAGTTTTATTATTTTAAAACGATATTATCAGAACAATCTGAAAAGCAATATTGACTTAACTTTAATAGTTGAATTATAAGCTAAACGATTCGATAATAAACTACTGGGGCGTAAATTGACTTCAAATACGTCTATTTACGTTCCTCACAAATTAACGTTTTGTTGCACGCCAATAAAGGTTCCAGTGTTGCTTTATGAGCAGAACAAAGCAGTTAACTGTTTGATTACAAGTTGTATTGTTTTATTATAATTTCAATATGTTGTATTATAAATTGCACAGTTATGAACCTTAAAAATTACGTTATATACTTATAATATACTTATAATAACTATCTCGATGATGTAGTGGCTAGCATGTACGGCTGTACACCCGGAGATCCTGGGTTCGAGTCCCGGGTCGGGCCAAATTTAGTTATTGAGTCTTTCTGTATAAGTAAGCCTCAGTAATGGCCCGGAGTTGGGAAGTTGGCGGTGTTTCACCCCCGTGCCTCGGAGAGCACGTAAAGCCGTCGGTCCTATGCCTTAACTCTCACTGGTCGTGTCGAGCAATCGTCCCACCGGAGTATGAGAGTAACAGAAATAGAGAGTGCACTTGTGTCTACGCGTACACTTGTGCACTATAATATCTCCTGCGCAGTTGGCTAGTCTCAATGAGATTGGCCGCCGTGGCCGGAATGGGTCGGGAGAACATATAATATGTGCATAGCCTTAGGTTTTTATAACTAACTAGCGACTTTTGCTCTCATGCATCCCTAAGTATCTTTTATATTAATAATATTATATATTTACTATAGTTTACTATAAATTACATCTATCTATGGACTAAATTTCATGCAAATCCATCCAGCCGTTACAGTAGTAATAGTAAAAGAGTAACAAACACACTCAAATATAAACTTTGTCATTTATAATAGATTTAATGAAAAACACTCGCGACAGCTAGCAGTTTTACTGTATAATTAATTGTAGGGTTTTTGTCAACAGAAAGTAGTGCGCGAGATGAATCGTCTCGGCATGTTGATAGATTTGTCTCATGTGGGGGAGAACACGACGCGGGCCGCAATCCGATTGTCGAAAGCCCCCGTTATCTTCAGCCACTCGTCCGTTTACAGCCTTTGTCCCCACAAACGAAACGTCCCAGACGATATCATCCAATCCATGGTAAGTGATCTATTACATTGTTTGTCATGCGCTACTGGATTTACAAATACTGATTCAGCTCTCCGAACTTCCTCTATGAATTTATAGCTTTAATCTTAACTGTATTAATCATTTATGTCGAAAACTGTACGCTATAAAGTTATTAAGAAAATGTGTTACGTTATTTCATTTTGGTTAAATATATTATAGTTTAGTTAAATATATTTGGTTAGTACTTAATGTCAAAATAGATACTTTATTTCGTTTACTTTACTTTGGCTATAAATGTATTAAGTATGGATTGAACAAATTATGAGGGTTAAAAAAAATCACTAGTTTTTGCCCGCGGCTTCGCTCATGCATGTAAGGTACGGCGGGGCGGGGATCAAATTTTATTGAAATCTTTTCAGCGTGAAAAGATAACCGTGAAAAATAAGAGTTAGTGATTTTATCATCTCATTATTGTTAAATCTCGTAACCCTTAAAATGAAATATGCAATAAAGCACAAAGGTAAGGTCATAAAAAATAGAATTCCTCAATTTGCGGCAGCGAACAACAATTATCAAGAGTGCGAAAGACCGGGTTTTAAATATCTACTCAGTTTTTGTATTTTATTATTAAAATATTTCAAAGTTATAAGCCATTATCAAAATATTCTTTGCCTTGTGTTCATTTAGGTACATATAATTGCAGAGAGAAATTTGGCAAAAGCTCGATAATGACTCTCTCACATATGTGTTTGGGAAACAGTCAAAACATGGATTATTAATTTGGTCATTAGTCTTTCATCACTACCCATAACTCTGCTTAATTTCAAAATCTTATAATAGAATATTATTAATTATCCAGATCTACTCAACTAATGGAAATAAAACTTTTCTATAGTTTATATTTAGATTACTAGCGATTCACCCTCGCTTCGCTCGGGTTCTTCCCTAGGTTGCTGCCCCATACAAACTGTTATCCTCATGGTCAACCTCTTAAGGGGATTTTTATTGATTTCCGGGATAAAAACTATCCTATGTCCTTTCCCAAGGTCTCAATTATCTTCTTAATAAATTTCATCTAAATTGGTTCGGTAATTTCGGAGCCTATTTGAACAAAAAAACAAAAAAACAATTTTTTTCATTTTATTAATAAATAATTAATTAGAATACATTTTCATATAAGCTTTGTTTCTACTTCGTCTCTAGGGAGTTGAATTTTGATAACCGACAATTTTTATCGTTTCAATAATCTACCAAAACCATTCTATAAGTATATTATTTATTAAGTATTTCTTGTAAAGGGTATAAATACTTTATTTTTAATTGCAATGTCTTTAATAATTTTAAATGTGTGTAATATAATTTAATAATTTTTTTTGAAATTAAAATAGAAAGAAAATGGTGGACTCATCATGGTGAACTTCTTTCCGGATTTCGTTAAATGTGCACCAAACGCTACTTTGTCTGACGTTGCAGGTGAGAAAACATCCAAAATTAATTTCTTATAAATCCAAAGATAAACTCATAACTACCTATGAAAAATATGTATTTATTTAAAATTTTACTTACATAATTTTTACAAAGTTTTAAAATCGTTAAAATCATTAGATATAGCATAGCGATGTATCCAATTTATTTCGATACATCCAAAACGTATTTCCATTGCAATCCGTTATAATTTAATGTTGAGCATTATTCGCATTATTGCAGGCAATTTGATTGTTTAGCCAGAAAACGGATCTGTAACAGCGAATTGGCATTTATAGTAATTATTAGCTTTAAAATCCAATTTTGGTACATATTAACAAATATAAAGCTCATTAAATATTCAATAACTATTAAATTTAAAGTAATATGCATTCGCAATCATATTGAATCGTAACTATTTTGAAAACACTAGGTATATATTTCAAAAGCTCTATCATTAGTACTAACTACAAAATGATGTTTGAAATTCTCGATAATTTGGTGAATTTACCACAGAGGCGTAATTATCACGAGGTCATAATATCGTGTTCATATTTTCACTTCTACTATGAGAAAAAGTGTAGACTATATTTTCGAAAACTAACGTTTATGCGGTAACCAGTAGTTTCTATTATCTTTTAGTTTGGTGGTTTATTGATTAGTATGTACGCCCGCAAATCTTGTACTGGGTTCGAATTCCGGATCGGGCTATGTTTGGTTGTTTAGTCTTTCTGTTACGAAAGTTTCAGTTTCAGCCCGGAGTTTGTGGTTTACCCCAGTGCCTAAAGCTATAGGTGCTGATCGCTGCCCGGTCATGTCGAATTGTAGTCCCTATATATTACATATCCGCCCATATGAGAGTGAGGGGAGTAGAGTGCGTTTATACTTGCGTGCATACTTGTTTAGTATAGTACCTCCGTCGCAGTTAGTCTCAGCGAAAATGGCTGCCGTGACCGAAATCCCTCAGGAGGGCATCACATGCCTGGGTATACACTATACATATTAAGAAACATGTAATCAGCCCTTTTTAACGTCCCGCTACTGGGCACGGGCCTCCCTTCAATACGAGAGGGATCAGGCCATAGTCCACCACGCTGGCCAAGTGCGGGTTGGCGGACTTCACATATCTTTCGAAAACTTGCTAAGTTCCCTCAGACATGCAGGTTTCCTCACGATGTTTTCCTTCACGGTAAGGCAAGTGGTAATCATGCTAGAAATGATTCGCACATGAAAATATCAGAGGTGCGAGACCCGGGATTTGAACCCGCATCACTCGGTTTCTCAAGCGAGCGCGTTACCACTGGGCTACCACTGCTTAAGAAACATATCAAGTCAAAAAGAAGTTAGGTTGTAACGGTTATATTTCTTCAACTATATGAAATTAAAAAGCTAATGTTTTTTTCTTCATTCTAATCTATTTATTTTTAAATATTTTATCGACCCAAATTTACTTATTTTACGTGTACCAACTCTAAATATACTTGTTCTAGAACATTTCCATTACATTAAAAGGCTGATTGGGGCTGACTACGTCGGTATTGGTGGTGATTTCGATGGGGTTAACAGGTAAATTGGAAATTTTATTTGTCTACTTTGGTGCTACAAGCGAACTCAGTTTTTTTATTGTGATAGATGCAAGAAACCCAGCCGCAAAATATGCCAAATGAAAAATTTCTCGAAACCAATCATTAATATTACGTTTATTATTACATTTTTTACATGTTACTTTTTTTTGGAAAATATAACTGTAAAATCTTTTGTTTATAGATTTTTTATATCCACTGTCTTATCACTTTTATTTCAAAATGAAAAATATAAGATAGTAAAAGAACAATGTTAAGAACTTATCGTCAAGTACCGACCTGAAATAAAATCTGAACTAATTCCAATACTGTTTACACATTTTTGCAACCCTTTAATTTTATTATTATGCACCGTATTCATCGGTGTAGAAATTCAGATGAGCGTGAAAGCTAATAAATTGATTGCAGAGTTCCCCGTGGCTTGGAAGATGTTTCAAAATACCCTGAGTTATTCGCTGAACTATTGAGAAGTGGACAGTGGACTGTTCAAGAACTAAAGAATTTAGCTGGACTCAATATGCTTCGAGTAATGCGACAAGTAGAAAAGGTAGCAAACCAATTTATATTTGAATAATATATTGAATTATTACATTTATCTATAGTTTTCAAAGCATGAAACTGATGAAATGGTGTATTTTGATTTTGCTGTATTCATTTCTTCATATTAATTAAAATATCGTGCTGTATATAAAAACATATCTCGTAAAACGGAAAATCCACACAATACAAACCCTATTCATAAATGAAATTCACTGAAATATAAGTACTCTCTATGAGTAATATAGTATATTTCAAATACATTAATCAAAACAGGTACGAGATGAATTACGAACAAATGGTGCAGAGCCCGAAGAACACCCCGACTCTCCGAGCGACAACGGAAACTGCACTAGCAATGCCTTTTACATAGAGGATGTTTAAATGTTTAAATATTATACTAAATATTATTTAGACATCGAATTAAATGATCAAGATTTTAAGAAAATATGTACTTATTTTTGTAGAAACATATTGTTAAATTTTACTCCTCCATTAACTTGTTTACTGCAGCTGCTCTAATATATAACTCGTACAAAATGTCAAACATTAGTCCGGATTGTGAATTTTTGAACTATATCTTACAAGTAATTCGATGTCTAATAATCTCTCTATTCACGTATATCTGTCAATCAATACTACGATGTGAATTGCACTCTAAAAGGTAACGCTTTTTATTCGGTAAAAATTGAAACATCACGTATGCTGCTAATTTTATTGATGAAATAATTCTTTGACAGATATGCGGAAAGTAAATACAACAGATTCATTCCAATTGGTGTGTATTTATAATAATATTAAATGTATTCCATTGATGTTTCTTCCAAATATCGATCTGAAGCTTGAGTTTTTAAAAAGGTTTGTCATCGTGAGAGACTTAACAAACTTACTAAAGAGCGTCTCGGGTGAGGATAGTTTAGGGAGCGATAAAAAGTATCTCATTCTTTAACTTTTTTCAGGTCAAACTTGCCCGTTGCCACTTTAAAACAGACTGGAAAATAGTTTCTCTTCCTTGGCTTTTTCCATTCTAAGATTAAAAATCTTACTAAATTTCAGGAACAAAGTTGTGTTTTTTATTTTAAAAAAGGTTATAGAATGAGATTAATTAAATACAATATGTAATCGTATGTAACCGTTAGAACCTGAAATAAATGTATCAGTGTAGTAGACGCATGATAGATGTTCACTGTCGTAAAAGCACTGTTTTCTTCAACTTCTTCGTGTCAAGTATCGCCCTTCTTAACTCTATCACCATCCAAAAATGGCTCCGTTATGAATGAACGTGGATTTTATATATACATACTCGTGTATAGTAATTAATTGAAACCGAATTTAATTATTTTCATTTTATTCATAATCTCTCAGATATAATTGCTACAGAGTTTGCGGATGCACAATTTTAATACCATAAAATTGGAATAAACTAATGGATTACATGTGAATTAAAATTAAGGGAAAAATAAGGATGAAAATATAATATTTAAATCTTATTTATATTATACTTGATTAAATCGTATGTTTCAATTTAGGAAAGTAGTTAGCGAATAAATTTTTATCAATATAATTAAAATCTCTTACATGAAAATTCGTTAAAGAAAATGTATTATTGTAAAGGAATTGCGTGGCATATACGGAAGCCATTGGATTTGTTCTTCTTCCTCATTTCTCTGCTTGTGTAAATAATCGATGAATTTTTATTATTATTAGAGGCCATCTTCATTTTCACTTAATACTTCCTCAAGACTTATATATTTTATTCATTAAGGGAGATACTCCAGTCGATGATAATTTACTAATATTAGTATATTATACTCATATTTGGTCCCTTTGGTTTGCATCTGGAACTAATTCGCATTTAATAATTAAATATTCTCTTTAGTCTATTGTGGCCGATACATTCCTAGATACTATAAGTTTACATACAGCTTTCTACTATCATGGCCTCTTTTCATACAGTCATATATGTAAGTAGTTTATATTGCTGTGTAGTTTTCTGTAATGATCTGTGCATAAAAATCAGCTAATCTTATAATTCTTCTTGTTTAAAATGTGTTTACTCATTTCTTATATACTTTTTATTTAAAACAAGTAAGTGATAGAAAGAGAAAGATTGTGATTTAAACAAGGTGTGCCAAATTTAACTAAAATTTAATACTCAATATATAAATACGAAGGCTTCTGTTTTAAAAAACTATGTCGACATAAAAATAATTCTGGCAGTTTTTGAAATTAAAAAGTTTAATTCAATAAAATTCTGCTAAATTTTTATTATTTACTTACGTCTCCACAAAAATAAAATAATTGGTCTCTAAATTAATTTGAAATATTATTGTGTATTCATTTTGTATTTTAAATAATTAATTTGTTAGTCTTATACATACGCAATTAATATTTCTTTCTTAAATTTTTAGTTTCTATGTATATAAATCATGATTATTTTCCTGTATCGCTATTTGCAATAATAATTAATATTTAAATCATGTCGACATACTTTTACTATTTCAAACATATCCGTAAGGGCTATAACCATCTGTCCGATTTCTATGACACCTACCCCCTACCGAATTACACACTCACACTATTTGTTGGTGAATATGTCAGCTTTAAAATTGTATTTATATCAAGTGATATAGTAAGTATTAAATTTTAATCATTTATGATTAAAATACCTTAGTCCCTTAAAGACAGATGGTTTAAAAGAAACGACCTTTGTATATTTTCGTAATTTCATTGAATTTTGATATATTCATATATGTCTCTACGACAATAAATCATTTTATGATGGTCGGAACTCCGCTTATTTCTTTGCCCTCAAAAGACTTGATTCTTTTAAATAACGTTTCATTTTACCAGATCTGCATGATAATAACCTTACGTAAAGCCTTTATTCCCATATCGTTACGTCGAACCCTTAAGATTGTTAACGTACAATACAAATCAAACGTTGCTTTATTTATTAAGCCTCAAGTATTCATAAAGAAAAGGAATAAGCGGAAATTTATCTCGATCTCGTTACTGAGCTGTGACTCTTATATTTAAAGAAATCGGGGTAAAAACGACTATTTCTTAGATATTACGACTGAAATTTTCGAACCTTTATTATCTAGCATTACTACCATGTCTGAAATCTGGCTGTTATTTTGTAATTGGTTTTGAAAAGTATTTTATTAAAACGTCTTTTTGCACGAGCGCACAGCTGTTACATGTATTCAACTTAATGAAAATAAAGTCTTGTACTTACAATGGATGTCTACAGTTATTCTTTTATTATTTAAATAACCTACATTTTTCAGCTTTATACAAGCCCCAATTTCACCGACATCTTTTTAAACAGTCATTAGGTAAGAGTGATTAAAAATAACAACACCAAATATATTATTCCACAGCATTGATAAAACAAACATTCACTTTTTAAATTATTTTATGCCATTTATATAAAAAAAAAATAATTTCGTGTTTCACACACTACAGTTTCACTCCCATGGTAAGCGGAAAGATAACAAAAGATATCCTACCCTTTCTAAGCGTTAGCAAAATCTGTTGAGTGGTCTCAACGTGAAAAGGTAACATAAACACAGAATTACTTGCATATCCTACTAATATTATAAATGCGAAATTCTGTTCTACCTTTCTTACTCTTCACGCGAAAACTACGTAATGGATTTTAATGAAACTTTACAATAATATAGCTTATACATCTGAATGACACATAGACTATTTTTCATCCCGGAAAAATGTACGGTACCCGTGGGATAGATTTGTTTTGGTTTTTATAGAAGCAAACCCGAACGAAGCGACGGTGAGCCACTAGTTTATAATTTTCTTTAAATGAGCATTTTTTCAAGTGATTCGTATTAAAATTTTAAAATATGGTTTGAACTGGTAGTAGGTACGATTTACTATATTGTCTTTATTGCTCAAAACAAAGTTTCTAAAACAATTAGTTAGGTACTTTGTCCGCATACCAGAAAACTTTAAAATATTTTATAAACACAAACAAAATTATTTATTAAAAAGATTATAGTTCCACTGCTTTCAAAAGTGAAAGTAAATAAATAGCCCGGTCAAAATAGACATTTCAAATAACAAAAACTCCGACAGTATCAAACATGTAGAATGTAACACCTTCAACTTTTAGAATCGCGATATCTTAGGAATGGTGATAGTTAGGAAAAAAGTATTACGATTTTTATAGATAATAATATGATCTACAATTTTTGTCTGGACTATATTTTTAACTAGCATTGCTCGCGGCTCCGCCCGCGTTCATATGACCAAAAACTATATTCTTAGGTTTTACAGATTAGTATACTCTTACATTGCAGTTTTTGCATTTTTTCTCAGAAATGAGATATTTTCCCGTAGTAAAAAGTATCCTATATGTTGACCCGGATAACCAGCTATCACCATACTAAATTTCATCAAAATTCCTCCAGTGTTTTTTGTGATGCGGTAACAGAAAGACACAAATTCGAAAAACTATAGATTCGGCTTCTGTAGCGATAATAATGTTTATTTCAATAAGATTTTCCAAAAAATATTTAATGTACAGATTCGGCTTAGTTACAATTTTAACCATATAAACAAACAAACAAACAAACAAAAAAAACAAACTATTTAGCTTTATAATATTAGTATAGATGTATCTTCAATTCTTTAATATAACGACGCACTAGTTACTCCCTACGGCATGGCGCCAAAGCAAAATTAAACGGCAGCCTTCACCGAGCTTTTGTTCGCTGCTTGAAATCTTCGGCTTGCGTGACATTCGCCATGAAAAAGATCATTTTTATGTGAGACCAACGCCATTCCACCAGTTCCAACGTTGTGCAACGTGAAGTGACAATTGTAATATTTTACCTAACATTTAACAAGCTATATATTTAAAAACATGTATATGCGTGATATGAATAATGCAATTTTATTAACTTTTTAATTTCGTTTTAGAGCTACTTTTACCATAAAAGGGGTTTAATAACTAAATGTAAACTCAAGGTATGGAAATCAACAAGTTGCTAAAATTTAGATTTGCGAGCTAAATTATTGCTGGAATGCACGAACTTTTAACAAACATTTTAACAAAACACAACTTTGAAATTGCTTAAATTTGTTTTGATAGTGAAATTATATTTTATATATAAATTATAAAACTATACTGGATATTATAAAGGCAAATGTAAAATTTAACTGTCTGTTTGCCAGCCTGTTTGATCTTTTCTCCAACACAGCTAAATCAATACTTAATTCGGCAGTGATGATGACCATGACAAATATTTTATATTGTACAAGTGGACCAGGTAAGCGGACATTGTCTTTTCACAAGCTGGGATAAAACTGGATCTCTAAAATAGTGAGTACTCTAAGAACTTTCCAAATGACCC